AAATTTGAAGGAAAATTTCACACTACACGGCGGTTGCACGATTTAAGGTTTCGCTCAGCAAATTGCCGCGTGAGTCAAGCAACTGGTAATCTGACCTGCAGGCCGTCAAATTGACATCAAAATGACAGGCCCGCCACCGGCAATCGAGTTCAGGCAAGTTATGTTAACTTGCCTGAGTCGATTGACCGGAAAACTGCCCTGACCAATCATCAGCCGACAGGCCCAACGGCAACTTGCCGTCAAACAGTTTTGACGGCCAGAACACCACAACTTCGACGGCTAGCACTCGAGCAACAAGAGTTTTTTCAAAGATTCTTGTTTGCTCATCAACCTCGCCGCAGCAACACGGTGAGAATGATACCCTCAACCGCTTAGGGCTTTGATTCTCAACGTCTTATAAGCTCGCTTTTCCTCTCATGTTGAACCTTAACCCCGTCAAGATTTCCGGTTCAATAACATCCTTCAGCTTCTTCGGCTTTGATCACTCTTCACTCTTGCTCCTGTCTCTTCAAGATCAAGAAGACGACCCTCAAGAACTCAAGCTGATCTTCATCAAATATCAAAGTAAAGTTGTCTCCCTCTCCTCATCGAACTCAGTCGATTCTGATCCCGAAATTCCCTATTCCCTCAAGACTGAATTCCTTAGCTGTCAAGACAGTCACTCAGGCTTTGACATCGCTCATCGCTTTACGCTATCTGCATGCTTGTTTGTTGATTCTCTCCCTCTTCCGTTTTTCTTCCTCTCGTTCTTGTGTCTCTCTTTCTTCTGTTTGATGAGAAAAATGCTGATTGGCTACTCCTTCAAGAGCGGAAGACATAGTCTCTCATTCTCGATTATCGAAATCTCTGCCTCAATACTTTCTCTATTTATCTGCTCTATCTATTATTGTTATCTTGTCTACACTTGTACATAGAAAACCACAATAACAAAAAACATGAAAAACATAAAAAACATAAAATGCAATGAAAAAACAAAAAAGGACCTGGTGCCCTGGAAACCGCAATCGAGAGTGACCAGTGAGCTGGGCCACGTCAAATAACCAAGAACGAGTGGAAATCAGTTCCAGCTGCAGGTGATGACGGATTGGTGGGCAACTTGCCGCTGGTTTGCCATCAAAGTGTGGTCAATACGACCTGTCACCTTTCAAACCCGGTCTCGGGTTTGACGGCAATCTGGCGACAAGGGCGGTGGGACCAAAGTTCTGCCAGAGGATTGTCTGAGCGGGCGTTGGCAGGGGTGCTGTCAATTCGGTCGTCAATTTGCCGGCTGACCGGAGGCCTGTTTTTTGCCGGTCAAAGCTGGCTGGGCGGGGTCTGTCAAATTGACGGCCGAATTTTCAGCCAATTGCCGGCCACCTGCAACCGCCGTGTACGCTGGCAGTTAGCTCAGCGGTGTGTAGTGTGAACTAACACTACAGGATTTCCAGCAAAAAAAAAGCAACTACACTAACATGTAGTGGCCAAATAGCGTAGTGTAGCGTAGCGGCCCACCGTTGGTACAGTGCCCTCCCAGATGTATATAGCCAACTTGTTTGGATTACACAACCCTAACCCACCAACCTGCAATCATGAGACTTGGGCAAGTGATATAAAAGAGGTTTCCAAAAATGATTTTGAAAACAAAAATATGAAAAACCAATTTTCAAAATTTTCAAAAAATATTACAATTATTGCACTTTTTTCAAAAGTCTTAATATTGCTCCAAATGAAAAAATAAAAATTGGAAAGAGTGGTATGGTATGCAAGAAGAATGATAATAAATGAAAAAAATCAACACCATAAATTATTTGGGTCTCAGTATCCAGCTCAAAACACAAGTTGAACTTGATAGCACTGCCTCCTCCACTGTTTTTTCCACTGTGAGACTGATGAATGTCTCCCTCCACACCAGTTTAAAACCATCTGGTAGTTATTTTATCATAATTTTAATTTATTATCATTTCTCCAGCATACCATACTCCAAGTTCCAATTTTTATTTTTTTCATTTGGAGCAATATTGAGACTTTTGAAAAAGGGGGTTGGAAAAACGACTCCCATTTTGGTCGAGGGGTCGTCGGACGGGAGTCGTCTTTCCAATTCCCCCTGGGGAATTGGGAGTCGACTTCCCAATTTTTTTTATTAAAATTTATTTTTTTGGGTGGGAGTCGGCGCCCAAAACCCTCCTTGGCAAGTGGGAGGTTTGGGAGTCGCCTCCCATCCCACTGGCCGGGGGGATTCCCTCCGGTCATTGAGACTATCGAGTCTCAATGACCGGAAAGAATCCCTTCCGGTCATCA